AGACATGCCAGTTCACCCAGTGGGCACAGCTTTGAGCTGTGGAGGCAAACCAGAGTGCTTGGAGAAAACCCATGCAGCCAGGGGTTGGGGAACATGCAAACGTGCAAACTCCCAGAAGACAGTGGCCCCAGCCAGGAATAAATTTATTTTTTCTCAACAATGTTATAATGAAACAATATTGAACAAAACAACTTAATGCAGGACCTACTGTGGAAGGATGGTTAGTGACTCTTCAATTTCATTATGACTTCTTATCGTGACAACCAAAACCTGGGAACCTCTGTAAGAGACAGTTAAGTTGGTCAAAGGGCAAGTGAGCTGTGATTTGAGTGATTTGAGGCAACCTGAAAAATACAGGATAAAATAGGAAAATACACAGCCTTAATGTATTAGTGAAAGTGGATTTATTATGAATGACACTCACTACAATGATTAATTAAGCTAATCCTTTATTATGTGCTCTGCTGATCACCATCAAGAATGAAAATACATGTTTGCTCTGTTTTCAATTAAAATGTGTGGAATTACAGAAATTTGAGAAAATGAAAGTTTGACTTTTACAAGGTCCTTCAACCATACTTAATCACTTTGCTGACTTTTCTTCATCTTTCTGCATCTCAGTTCCTTATCTGGAAAGTACAATAAACTTTCCTGTGTTGGTGATGATAGATGGTATAACAATCTTCTTTCGCAGCTGAATTCTCCAAGTCAATACCACCTTCTGCCCGATCCATGGTTCAGCTCTATTTGACAGTTCAACACTAGCTAATACAATTGTTTCCTTATTAAATGTACTAACCCCTGTGTTCTCTGAATTTCTTTAAATAACTTTAAAGAAACCAAAAGTACTCAATAAATAATTTTTCCAAGAAATGTATTCTCAAAGAGATTATACCTGTGTATGAATTCATTTATAAAACTGCTTTTCTTTCAAGCTGACATAAGAGTCCTAGGAAACAGGGTCAGGCAGGAATGAGAAGAAGAGACATCATCTTTATATCATGATTGATAACTGTATCTTGAATAAATCCAAATACATATTAGGAAGCATCTATCACAAGTTTCTGTTTATTTGAACATCAGGGTTTTCTAATATATTTAAATATTCTTTTTTAAAAGAATTTTATTTATAAGCAATTTCAAGATTGCATCTAGTCTATAAACTACATGAGATGAGGTGTTTTTATACATGACTATTTGATAGTGAACACGACCTGAAAAAGAACTTGGATCTGTAGCATTTCCACTTTCAACTCTCTCAGGATTAAGGTTTATCTCTTAATTCTGATGGAAATCTCCTATGCATTGAATAAAAGTGGTGAGTGTTATTCTATGTGCTGCGAAGCTAGCTTCATAGAATTATGTTAGTAATGAGGTATTACATTTATGCATCAAAAGTTTGGAAGCTGACTTTTCTAATAACTTTTTTATAGTATACTTAGTAATCTTAATATAATCAAAGACTTGGCCTCTGATATTAACTATGTTCTACTAAACTATAAAACACACTCAGGTGAAAATTACAAATATGTTCTATACCAGATTTTTAACATAAATGATTAATTCTCATAACTCTGCCAAACAGATATTTTATCCTCCTTGAACTGATAAGGAAATAGCTCTTGCCAAAGCCATATGGTTAAACAACAGCAGAGGTAGATTTTGCACCCCGCTGTGTCTGATGTCAAAGCTTTTCACTATATCATGCTGCCTTTATTTTCAATTAAGTTTAGGATTCCCCCAAGTTAATGAGAAATACACATACCATAAATTAAAATCAACAGTACATTGAAAGCCTGATTTTAACTAACAGCTTTTGGGCAAAACATTTTCCTAATGTTAATACGAAAAACATTGACTCATCTAACTTGCTTCTTCCATTGCCCCCCCTCTATCATCCAACCCCATTAGGATGCTGCTAAGCTCTGATATGAACAGAAGGTAGACAGTAGCTAGAGAAAGGAAAGAAACAGAGGGCCTGAATTATCTACAAACTGTGTAACCAGCTCCCAAACCATCAGGAGAGAACTTAATTAAATGGTTTGTTTAAAGTGTGTCTAAAAAGGGAAAATAATTCATTTTTAATTAGGACAGTCTTCTTTTTTGGTAAATGGTAAAGTACTTAAATCATAGTATTATTTTTAGACATCTCCTCACTTTAAATAATTTAGAAATTCAATTATAATCATTTGCAATAAACCACTTAAAAATACTTAAGGTACTTCTTGAAACTACCTTGTCTGCTTAAAATATATATTATATATTTATATAAACATATATTTATATGTTTGCTTAAGAAAATTATATTTATATATTAGTATATTATGTTTATATATTTTTTAACAGACAAGGTAGTTTCAAGAACATATATCAGATAATCAGCCTAAATACAAAACGGTAAAGAGACATTTCTGTGTCACTATTTTTACTCAAAGTTTTTGTTTTGATCTGTCAAAAAGTTTTGGGGAGCTCTGTGGATTTTCAGAGCTCATTATCTTATTTCATAGTGATATTAGCTTCATTTTACTATGATAGTGGGGCATCTGATGTCTGCTATCAATAGGATCTGTGTTCATCCACAGAGACACTTCAAATGAAGTGAAAAACATTTGCCGATTACATTATGTTATGATAGTGAATGATTTTAAAAGATGTCAAGTTCTGCTTAATGAGTTTTATATGAAATAGCATTTACATTAGGGGAAAGTTTGGGGGAGGTAAAAGATGTAAGTCATCAGAATTTCATTTATTTTTAAATACAATTAAGCTCTCGGAAAGCATCAGCACTTTAACTCTGAAATATCTCTTTTAAAGACATTACTGAAATATCATTATTACCATTTTTTTTATTTTCTAATACATCCCTGAAAATGAGTTCACTTTAATAAGTGGAACGATTTATGAAGCAAAATAGGCTATAAGTACACAAGAAGGATAAAATATTTAATTGCACTAATTATACTTTCATGATACACCATTGTTTCTGACATATATGTTTACCACATTTCTAAACTTCTATAATAATACTGTGGTAAGAGATGTTCACGTGTATCGTAACTACCCATAGCCACAGTTCACACATCTTTTTGCCACAGGAAAATTAGAGGACAATATATTCCCTTCCAATCATACAAAGTAAAATGCATGTACTTGTGAACGTTATATTAATACTGTATTGAATGGCTGGGCGCGGTGGCTCAAGCCTGTAATCCCAGCACTTTGGGAGGCCGAGGCGGGTGGATCACGAGGTCAGGAGATCGAGACCATCCTGGCTAACATGGTGAAACCCTGTCTCTACCAAAAATACAAAAAACTAGCCGGGCGAGGTGGTGGGCGCCTGTAGTCCCAGCTACTCGGAGGCTGAGGCGGGAGAATGGCGTGAACCCGGGAGGTGGAGCTTGCAGTGAGCCGAGATTGGGCCACTGCACTCCAGCCTGGGCTACACAGCGAGACTCCATACTTGTGAACGTTATATTAATACTGTGGCTGAATGGCCGAGCACGGTGGCTCAAGCCTGTAATCCCAGCACTTTGGGAGGCCAAGGCGGGTGGATCACGAGGTCAGGAGATCAAGACCATCCTGGCTAACATGGTGAAACTCCGTCTCTACTAAAAATACAAAAAACTAGCCGGGCGAGGTGGTGGGCGCCTGTAGTCCCAGCTACTCGGGAGGCTGAGGCGGGAGAATGGCGTGAACCCGGGAGGTGGAGCTTGCAGTGAGCTGAGATTCAGCCACTGCACTCCAGCCTGGGCGACACAGCGAGACTCCATCTCAAAAAAAAAAAAAAAAAAAAAAAAAAAAAAAATACTGTATTGAATATAATAGCATCCATTTACACTTTTGGGTTGAGAGCTGAGACATCTTGCCCTTTAGGAGTCACTGACTCAGTACCAGATTCTTTTCAGTCTTTTTTTTTTTTTTTTGGAAAGCAGTCAGAGTGATCTTACTGAAATTTTTTAGTACAATGTTAGAGGATCTTAAAATTTTATATTTTAAACCAATACAAGCACTGCAAATGATATATTCCTGAATCTAGTTGATGTAGTATCTAAAAAGAAAAGCAACCATATGAACATCTATAAGTTGACTAATGTAATTTAAGTTGGAGGCTAAACAACTTTGGTATATTCATATTTCTCTGGCTCCTGTTTTTGGTCAGATATGCCAAGTCCACCCCCATTCAGTAGAATTGGACAGGACCAATGTATTGGGTGGTCTCACTTAAGTTTCCACGCCAGGAGCAGCAAGAAATGTACAACTGCTGGGATTAAGTTGCTCCAAGACAGTCTTCAACACCTTTGTGAACTGGAAAAACCAAATAGTCAAGGTCTGAATTTCCATTGTGTGTGGCTAAGTCCAGTCTCATTGGTTCATAAAAGTATTCTGAAGGACTTTAAAATACAAAGGTGGGGCTAAATAATGATAGAAACCATCAGTTCTTAATGCAGAGAATGACAATGCAGGTTCCTATATCCTTTTTAAAAACCTGAGATCATTATTTTAAAACTAGCTCTATACATTCTTAGGCTTTAAATTTAATGTTAGCTGAAATGATTACCTTTAAGTCAATTGGCTTTAGGCCTTGGTGATTGCTCAATATAATTTTGGAATTTTAGCAAGCAGCATTTCAGGTAAGTGACAGTAACGTTTTAGAAGAGGTAATTTTAAAAATGATCCAGAACTACACTGCTCTGATATGTCTGATGTATACCCCCCAAAATGTGACAGTGTCCATATTAAGCTAAATAAAATCTGGTCCAAATTAAGCACAATAACCAAGATGGTTTATCTGAAACTGAGTTATCAAAAAAAAAAAAAAAGAAAAATATTAAGCAATAAAAATCTGGTCCAAATTAAGCAATGTGGTTTATCTGAAACTGAGTTAATAAAAAAGCCCAACCCCAGTAAGAGAGGATAATGTAATTCTGTTTACCTCAGTAAAGCTATTTATTTCTATAAGACAGGTTTATAAATAAACTTGAGAGGGACACTGGAAAAAAAAAAAAAAAAGAAAAATTCAAAATCCATGGTATGAGAATTATAAATTTTCCAAGGTTCACTCTAAAGTAAAAGGCTAATTAATTCTATACAGGGTTTTACCCAAATGTCCATAGGCATTATCATATATATTTACACAGAAGGCTTTAATCTGAAGTCACCTTTGGCAACCTTGAAATATATAAACTATGACTTCCACAATGAAATTATATACTTGAAAGTTGTCACCTCAAAGTACTGAAAGAACAAAGGAAGAGATCACATGTACCCGTTAAAAGTCAAAATGACAAAAATGTTTCTCATTTAAGACAGTTCACTTAAAGACCAAATAACCACCATCATTTCCCCAAAAACTGGAAAGAAATGATCTTGAGCTTTAGAAGGGGAAACAATAAATCTTAGCACATACAAAGATCGGATGCTTTTGCCAGTGATTAACCTATCATTGCTGAGTACCTACAGCTAAACATCCAGAAAACAAAAACAAGTCAGAAGTCAGAGTAGGCTTGCTGGACACTTCCCATTCTGGCTTTATAGCGGGGCATGGCTGAACAGATAGGACACGGATTCCCCATTGTGTGCCCTTCGGATTGCTTCGGCCAAGATCATGGAAATGTCAGTGACCTGAATCTTGGTGCAGTGTTTCATTATGTCCTCTTGTGGAATTGTGTTTGTGACGACCACAGTCTCAAAGGCAGCATTATTTATTCTGGAAATAGCTGGTCCAGACAAGATCCCATGGATAAGGACAGCATACACTTTGGTGGCTCCAGCTGACAGCAGCTTGTCCGCGGCATGGCAGACGGTGCCACATGTGTCAGCCATGTCATCCACGAGGATGGCCATGCAGTCCTTCACGTCGCCCACCAGGACCATCCGGTCCACTTCATTCGCCTTCTTCCTCTCTTTGTGGATCAAAGCAAATTCCACATTCAACCTGTCTGCGATTGACGTGACCCTTTTGGCTCCCCCTGCGTCAGGTGAAACAATGATACAGTTCTTCCACTCGGCAATGTTTTCCCGAATCCACTGCAGGACTGCGGGCTCCACATACAAATTATCCACAGGAATATCAAAAGAATCCCTGTATCCAAGAGGCATGCAGGTCCATGGTGACGATGTGATCCGCCCCAGCCACCGACAGCATATTGGCCACAAGTTTTGCAGAAACTGGGGCACGACTCTTGTCCTTTTTATCTTGTCAGGCATATGGGAAACACGGGATCACGGCAGTCACCCTGGATGATGATGCGATCTTGCAGGCATTGATCATGATGAGGAGCTCCATGAGGTTGTCGTTAATTTCCCCGCAGCGCTCTGCATGATGTAGACATCTTCCCCTCTCACACTGTCACCAGTCTCCACGCTGGGCTCCTGGTTGCTGAACTTCTTGGTGACCACCTTGCCCAGCTGCAGGCCCAGGCGGTCGGCCACGCGCTGGGACTGGTCCTGATGCGAGCTGCCCCTGAACAGCACGATGTTGGGCATGGTGGGGCGCGGGACTCCGAAGGGCGCACGGCGGCGGAGGAAGTGGCGGCGGCAACAGCGACGCGGAAGGCTGCTGCTGCTTTTTCCAGTCTCAGTTCAACTTCACTAATATTGGATCTTGGATGAAAGATAATTAATTGTTAGTTCTCCGGGAAAAGTGTTTTCCAGGAGAATGACCTATCCAAAAAATACAAAAGGACAATGCTACTAAAAATAAGTGAGAAAAAAAAGTATAATTACCTTCAAATATTTTTAGAGAATGCTTTGTTGTGTTAATTACCCCAACTCTAATTTTAATGGAAATTGATGACTGTATTGATTGATGCTGTCACTTTCATTTCCTTTTAGTATACTAATGAATGAAAATAAGTATTGAAAATATTCATTTCTTCAGGCTCAAAATACAGTTGACCCTTGATTAGCTCTTGAATTTCTCCATGATGCCTATCTTGAAACCATTCACCTCCCCTGGCCACTTTTTTTTTTTTTTTTTTTTTTTTTTTTTTTTTTTTTTTGCCATGACCACAATCACTTTCATGATTCCTTGATTGGCTCTGTCATAAATCTGGGAAAGTCATGCATATCTGGACACAGTTTTCTTCAGCAGGAATTTAGTGATTTCAGGCTTGATGGCATTTACAACTTTATTCTATAACAATGGTGGCATTTTCAAAGATATCACCTTTCTAGACTCTCATGATGATCTCTCTCTCAGGGTTCTTTTCCATAGTGTTGACAATTCTTTCCATACAGTACTGTGCGTAATGAGCCTTAAAGGCCCTTATGACCCCCGATCTAAAGGCTGAATTAGAGACACTGAGTATGGAAGCAAGTCGACCACTTTGGAACCTTCAGTGTTGAACTCATGCATTTTGGGTAGCCAGGGGCACTGCCCAATATCAAAAGAAATTTGAAAGACAGTCACTAGGCCAGGCATGGTAGCTCACATCTTAATCTCAACACTTTGAGAGGCTGAGGGAGGTGGATCACTTGAGGCCAGGAGTTCAAGACCACCTACTACAAAAACTAACAAAAATTAGCTGGGCATGATGGCGCACACCTGTAGTCTCAGCTACTTGGGAGGCTGAGGTGGGAGGATCGCTTGAGCCCAGGAGTTTGAGGATGCAGTGAGCCATGATCATGCCACTGCACTCCAGCCTGGGCAACAGGGTAACAGAGCAAGACCCTGTTTTTTAAAAGAAAAAAAAAAAGGCATTTACTGGCAAGATACTTTCTGACTTTAGGAATAAAGCATGTTTGGAACCAATCCTGAAATAAAGTTCTTATTGTCCAGGTATTCTTGTTGTACAACTAAAAGACTGCCATCTGGTGTTAACTTTTCCTTTCAAGGCTTCGAGCTTAGCAGCTTCATAAATTCAGTCCTCATCATAAACCCAACTGCATTTGCACAGAACAGTAGAGTCAGCCTGTCTTTTCCTGTCTTAAATCCCTTCTCTTCCTAATACATATCTTTTGTGACATTCTTTTGTCCAGAAGAGAACACTTTTGTCTTCATTAAAAACCTGTTCTGGCAGATACCCTTTCTCCTTGTTGATTTTCTTGCTGGCATCTGGGAACCTGTCAGGAAAAGCTGCTTCTCCTGTTATGTTGACATTTTTTAAGACAAATCTCTTTCTAAAATTATTAAACCATCCTTTGCTGATAGTAAATTCTCCAGTTTTGATCCTTCACTTTCCTTTTTCTTTAAGTTGTTATGTAGTGATCTCAATTTTTCTTCAATCATAGTAGAGTCTGTAGGTATGCCTTTCTTATAGTAATCCTGCACCACATAAAAGCTGCATTTTTGGTATGAGATAAAAAGGATTTTGTAAAAAGTACAAGGTTTTCTCACCTTCTGGTGTAACTACAGCAATGGCTTCACAGATTTCCCCCTTTTTTTTTTTTTTTTTTTTTACAATGGTCCTTAAGCAAAATTCATTTATCTTGAAATGGCAGGAAACCATATCTGCAGACCTCCATCAATGGTACATATCAAGCAATTAAACTTTTTCTTGTAATGTCATGACATCTCTCTGCTTCTTGGGACCACTTCCAGCATCACTAGTGCCATTACATTTGGGTCCCATGGTGTTAGTCAAGATTTACAGTGTTGTACTACATATTATGAAAAATATACCAGAATCAAGAGAGATCACTTTTTACTGCAATAAGCAACTTACCAGAGAGATGAACAGCTCTCTAGTAAACTGAATTAGTGTCACATGGCGTTTTAAGCATATACAACACTTGAGCTCATTGCAATAGTCATAGAAGGTGGTTACAAAATTATCACAGTAATATATACTACAGTTAATTTCATGCAGTTATGATTTAATACTGCATCTTTATGTTTTACATTTGTGGCACCACGTATGGTATGTGTTTCTTTGCATATGTTTTGATATATTTTAACTTTTTATAATAGATCTGTGTATATTTTATGGTAGCGTATAATAAAATAGACTGGTATCTATGCATATTTTATATATTCATCACCTATCTAACTTTTTCTTAATTTTTTGAAATTTCTAGGCTATATGGTTCATCTGCGAGGTTTTTCGAATTGTCCCATATCTCAAAACAACTTTCTGATATATTTATTGAAAACAATCTGCATATAATTAGAACCAAGCAGTTCAAACCCATGTTGTTTAAGGGTCGACTGTGGATACTTGGTTTTAGGCCCAAGTACTGCACCCAAATAATGCACTAAACTTTATGTGTCTTGAGAACAGAGATACCACTCTTTGCTTTTTAAAAAAATTTTTCCTAGAGGCCTGCTAACCCGAGATAGGCAATTATTATTTTGTTGAAGTAAAATTAAATATATAAACTTTGTAATCATTGTTTATGTTTCATATACTGTAGTCCTATGCAAAACTCATGAAGAAAAATTACTCTTCACCTCTTCATGATGTATACTTCACCATGAATTATAATTTTATAAGAAGTATAATTTCCTTATATATAACAAATTACTTTATACATGGATTTTTTTTTTTTTTCTGAATCTTACAGTATTTCAGGAAAAGGGTTTCATTCCCAACTGACAACAGGGAAGATCAGCTCATCCTTAATTCATTAAATGCCATTTTTTACCCGCTTACATTCATCAAATTATAGGATTCATTATAACAGGGATGTAGAGTTATGGCTTTAGCTCTTTTTGTTCTAATCCTTTTTTCATGTATTCTTTCCTTTGATTTGCGACCTTCATTACCAAGAGAGCTCACATAATGCGTTCAGTTCAGTTCCAGGAAGCTAAGCAGTCAGCTACTGCAGGAATTATTTCACATACCCTAGTTATTAATATGATTACTCAGAACACTTACATTAATATCCAAAGTATTCTAGCACTTTCAGAAAAAAACAGTGCTCCTTTATCACAACTTTTCCTTTCACTTAGAGAATACATTCTTAACTATTTACATTTCAAATCTTCAAGTGAAAATTCCTCAGCCAAGTGGAAATGTATTATAAAATGTTTGCTGAATACTTAGATCACCTAATTCAAGGCTTGCTTTACTATTTTTCTGATTATAAAATAATGTATTCTGATTTTACTAAATTTAGAAAATATAAAATAGTATAAATTAAATAAATCACCTATAATCATGCATACCCAGAAATAACCATATTTTAATATATTTCCCTCATTTTTTTCTATATATGTTAATGGCATTTTGTGTGTGCCAATTTAAATTCAGTCTGTATTAATAATTTTATATCATTTTTTCCACATAACATTGTATCTCACATAAGTACTTCCCATGTAATTATTTTTCAAACGCATTATTTTAATTTTAACACAACATAGATAGGCCATAATTTATTTTAATATCCACTTAACCATGCTCTACAAATGCAAATAAATACATATTGGCAGAAATCTGATACTGTGGTTGATGGGATTGGGTGAAAGTTAGGACAGGAGAGAAAAATTTTAAAGGGACACCAGGTAACTTTTAGAAATGATGGATGTCTTCATCATCTCGGTTGTGGTGATGGTTTTATGGTACAAACATGTGAAAATGTATCAAATTTTATGAACTGTAAATATTCTTTGTTATTATATATCAACCATACCTCAACAAAGCTGATAAAAGAAGTTTTTTCAATTCTCTTATTGCAAGTAGGTTAGTTTCAATCTTTAGCTAGTATAAAGTGGTAACAAACATAATTCACTACTTTATTTCAAAAAGAATATAACTTCGAACATGTAAAGCTATTCATAAATTTGAGGCAGTGACATTTCAATTCTTGTGCAATTCATAACAGATTTCATAAATTACTTTTAAATTTACTGAAACTCATTTTACTAAAACCCTCACTGAACTTTCATAGATGTCCAGAGCATTCCACTTTACCCTACTGGTCTAAAAGTATTGGGGGCAAAATCAGGTAAACTATTAATTGCTGTCATTAAAGCTCGCACATTCATTGAAGACTTTCCAGGAGCCAGACACTTACTTATCAGCATTTTACACGGCACATCAATTATCTTCTTACTTGTTTCTTTCAATAAAAATAAGCACAATGATGTAAAAACATGACAATATTAAGTAATGAGATCAGTAGGAAGCTTGCCTAAAGAATTCAAAATTCTTTAAAAATGTTCAGGATTGTCCTTGCAACTTCCTTACCTGCTCCCCTGGGCAGCCTGAAGCAGGGATGGGCCTTGTAGGGTCAAATGCTGACATGGTGGCCCACAGCCGCAGAAAGGCCAGGCCTGTAATCCCAGTACTTTGGGAGGACAACGTGGGTGGATCACAGGTCAGGAATTCAAGATCAGTGTGGCCAACATGGTGAAACCCCGTCTCTACTAAAAACACAAAAATTAGCTGGGCGTGGTGGCACATGCCTGTAATCCCAACTACTCGGGAGGCTGAGGCAGAAGAATTGCTTGAACCCAGGAGACAGAGGTTGCAGTGAGCTAAGATCACATCACTGCACTCCAGCCTGGGTGACAGAGTGAGACTCTGTCTCAAAAAAAAAAAAAAAAAAAAAAAAAAGGTTCGGGATTGTTCCTCTAGGTAGCAAGAAACAAAATCTCCAGAGGGTAGAATGGAAAAATGATGTATTCATACCATGAAATGCAATAAAAATAAACTAACTATTGATACCTGCAAAAACATAGATGATGAGCCTCTAAAACATTATGCTGGATGAAGAAAGTCAGACACAAATTAGTACATGTGGTATGATTCCATGCATATGAAGCCTAAGGACAGGCAAAACTAATCAATGGTTACAGAAGTCAGAAAGCGGCTTTTCAATGGGGGTGGGGGGTGGAGGAAGAAATTAATTAAAAGGGGGCATGAAAAGAACATCCAGGAAGTAGCTGCAAGGTATATACAACTGCCGAAATATGCTATACATTTGAGACTATGCATTTCATCATATATTAGTTATATTTCGTTAAAGAAAACTAGGATAAAATAAGTCTCTAGGAAGCTAAGGGTTTAGCTCTAAAATGATTCCAATTCAATGCTCAGACCTTTTGTCTAGCATGACCCTTTCACTCCACAAAGTCTACAGGATATGAGGAAAACCACCAATACCTAGATGGCATATAACCAAGGATGATGCTGAGGAGAAAGGATTTCCTCTATCAAAATAAATAAAAGTAGATGAAGAAACTCATTGCAAATGCAAATACCCTATTTTGAAATAGGCTAATCAAATCATTTGTATATGTTGTTTCACCGTAGCAACCATTTAACTACATATATATACATATATCTCATAACATCATGTTGTATACCTTAAATATACATGATATAGTTTGAATTTTTGTCCCCAACAAATCTCAAACTGTAATCCCCACTGTTGGAGGTGGGGCCTGGTGGGAGGGGACCAAATCATGGGGGTGTTCTCATAAATGGTTTAGCACCATCCCCTTATCCTTGGTACTGTATAGTGATAGAGTTCTCACAAGATCTGGTTGTTTAAAAGTGTGCAGCACCTCCCCCTTCTCTCTCTTGGTCCTGCTCCTACCATGT